AATGGGTAGTAAGTACCACCTGTGACTATTCTTCCCCTCCCAAATGTAGCATTCACTTATGATTAAATTCACCATAACATTAACACAGAGGCTGTACAAAATCTGCTCAATGTTCCTTTCTTCAACCTTGCTGCTGAGGTCCTTTCTGTTTAGAAGTAAAACTTTCACGTTAATTTAATCAGACTAAACAAAGCTCCTGGAATACAGAACTAAAATCATCACAGAACTTGGGTTTAAATCAAGAACATTGTCACAGAATGGCAAAGTCCAGCAGAATTCTTATGTCACAACTTGGTTTCCATTCAGTATTTTTTAACTCCAAGGAAGCCCAGCACTATTCCTGCCTCTTAAGAAATCCATTTTAAGGAGACTCTCCTTTCGCCAGGCAAAGAGCTCCTGTAATTCCTGCCAGTAAACAGACTTTTTTCAGAAGAAGTTTGATTCTGGCACAATTACTCCCAGAAAAGTCAAGTTTAAACAACACAGGTTTGGGAACAGAAAGCTTCCTAGGAGAGGACTAGGGGGATAAACGGAGGTGATTTCCTCAACAAAAATTACGTTTGATAAATTTAAAAAAGCTTTTCCTTTTTAACTACCTCTTTTGCTTCAATGAGCTCGGTACAGTTCTAGCTAGCCTGCTTCTATTATCATTCGAGGATAAAGCTTCAGGCTAAATAAAATACCCATTTACTAACCCTCAAAAACGTGCAGATTTTCAAAGAGCCTGAACTTTGGCTGTTTGCTGAAGGGCATCATAGCTCTGTCCGCTGGAAAACCCCGTCCTCTGAAGGAAGTCAGAGTCCACACCAGTTCCAAGAAAATGTGAAAAATGCAAGGGGAATGAAAATTTTCCATTTTACAGAGCTGAGAGGGAACTGCCTCCCTGCCAAGCAACAGCCTTTCTCCCTCACCCTGTGAACTGTCTCTCTGCCACAGCTTCACCTCACACTCCAAATCCGCTCCTACCCGAGCCTAAGCAGCACCAAACCAAAACTCCATCACTGAAACAAGCCAAAACAGAGGCAGCAAAGCCAGACCAAAGGCAACAGGGTCTCCAGAGCAAGACAGAACAGACTTTGTCACCCTCAGCCACTGCTGTACCACACAGGACCTCTGAGGTCTCCGTGCTGCGTGGCAAGGAGGAGCTGACCTACAACACCACATCTACAAGACCTGACAGCACTGAAGTCACCTCTCCATCCTGCTAATAAAAAAAACCCTTACAAACATCTTACCAAGATTTAATGTACATTTATTCTTAACACGTGGAACATATAGTATAAAGATTTCATACTGAATAAATGATATTCATTAAGCCAAAAAAGGAAAAAAGGGAGGAATTTACATCAAGTTTTTAGCTACATCGTCTGAAATACAAATATGCAGAATTCATCACTGAAAAATCTCAATTGTGTTTCTTCATCAGGAACTTCAACTGAACCTAGAACTTTTTCACACCTCGATTAGAAAGAAAACAAAAACAGGAAAAATAAACTATAAGTTGATTGGCTGCTGAGACAGCAATGACTTTATACACAGAGACCTGTACAGCATCCTCCAGGGAGGGATGTCTGGCAAGAGATTAAATAATTGTGTCTCGCTTTTGCAGGTCATCAACTCGTTAACTCGTCATACTATAAAGGGGTAGGGAGAGGGGGACAAAACTGCAAGGAATCTTAGGGTATGTGCAATGTACAACGTCATATATATATACACACGTGGCAGCATTCAGGCTGCAGCTAAAGGTTAAAACCAGTTCTAAGAGGTGATCTCAGGGTTATTCATACAATCAAGGAGGAAGAGAGAAAGAGGTCAGGGTGTTGTAGGTTCACACATGATACTTTGGGGGAAAAGCCTTTTTTTCTCCTCAACATTAACTAAAAACATTTTTAAAAACTACAGCTTGCTGCTGATCCAGCGTCTTTTTTTTTTTTTTTCCATGTGAGACATTATTACAGTATGTTTACAGTTTAAGGTGTACAGTACATGAAGTTCTACACGCTACTGCACAGGCCTCCCTTGGACAAGGTCTGTTCACAACTGGTAACTTCTTGGTTCCTGCAAGATTGTGAATGTACAACGATAAACCACACAGAGTTCAGCAGTCACTTTTGTCCTTCAGAGTTTACCATTAAAAACAGTTATGAAAGTGGTGCCTGTCAATGTGATAACACGGCAAGTCGTTTTCCCCAAACTCACTGTAAACGACAGTAACTTTGGTTAAAATAAAAAAAAAAGTCTTCTATGTAGACAGAACTTTGTCTCCTTTAATAAGGGATTCAGGACAAATTTGAAGGGCAGGGGAAGGGGGAGAGGGAACGGGGACATCTTTCCCCAAGGGAGAAGCAGGACAGCGCAGGGCAGACAGTGGATTCTGAGGTGGTTTTGCATAAATAAAGGGCAACAGTCAGTTTCTAAGTTCTCCACTCACGCACACGCACACAGGGTCTCGGATCCCACAGCTGTCATGACTGGCCAATTAAAAACAGTACATCACAAA